AGAGAGAGAGAGAGAATAGATGCTTGGGTAGAGTACCAATATGAAATAGAGAAAGGAAATTGAAAGAAAATTAATTAACGAGATGAATAAATACATAGAAAGAAGAAGCTTTCTTCGCCAAAAGAGAAGGAGAAAAATTGAAAAGCGGAGAATCACCGCTCGGATTGTTCTTTTTAATTAGCTTTTGCACTCTCGTTTTCGTCCTCATTTAGATCCCACAGATTCGAGCACGTCCTCTTAATTGTCGACAAGGATTGTGCCCGCGACGCCCGAGGTCGAGCCGACGCGAAAAACGAGTTTCAAGCAGGTTGCCGCACGAGTTGCTGCGCGAGGGAATTAAGAGAAGCATGGCTGTGTCGCTATCCTGGTTATATGCTCGCTATCGCGTACGACGCATCGTGGTACCGGCGAAATGTCGCTCGAAACAATAGGCATTGACCGTTCTTAAATCGTTCCAAGTCGAAGCCGAGCAAAATCACCGAGAGCGAGAGAACGAGAGAGCGGGCCGTAGCCTGTAATTCTCTCGTAATGACTGCGAGAAAGGTCGCCGCTACTTTCACACACGTACGACGTGTGATACGTCGTTGACGTACGTCGAGCTGTATCCGGACATACGGAGCTGCGCGTCACACGGCGTTGCATCCTACGTAAATTTAATCGGCCAATTATCATCCACGCTCCATCCATCTCTCGCGCTACTTTCGTCGAAGCTAAAGTGGAAAAGATAATTATTTCGATCGGTGATCTAAAGCGATTCACATCATTTTATGTAAAACAAATCTAACAACTTTTTGTTCATCTTCAAGACATTGTTCCTATATAGTTCCTATACAGTTTATAATTCTTAACTCTATGGAATACGTATACATATATAATATATTCATATAGAAAAGTTTTAACATTAAAATATTGTAACAAGCGCGTCTTTTATAGTCAATTATTATTCACTATACTTTACAATAAGATTTGGTTCAACAATTCTAAATTCTAAATTCTATTTCACAAAGTTGATCTTAGTTAAACTTTCACATAAAGATTCATATATATATATATATATATATATATATATATATTTCAAAATTCAAAGCTCTTTTCTCTCATCTATCGAAAGTTCTTCATGCCTCTAGCGTACTATCGATCAAAATTAGTCAAAATAAAATACGATAACGCGACTAGACGCGACTAGTAAATAATGAGAAAATGACATATGCGTGCCGTGGAGCAAGTATTATCGTGTACAGGTTCCGAGAGCGTCGAACGTTGGAATGTCACGTCCCCCGGTCTCTGTCTTGATCTTCCAAACGAATCGGCTTTGCGTTTTATTACGCAACGACTGGTGCTGGAATATAAATCAATATTCTATTGATGCGTAGAAAAATGCGCGAGAAATCAATCGCTTCGTGCGTACAATACAGCGAACATACAATACATACAACTGATCGACTAATTACGTACGACGAAATTTATATATAGCGACTTGTTCAACGCTCACGCTTAAGTTTATTTTTTTCTATTTAATTCTATTCGATATCAATCACATATTTAATCTTTCAAGTTATATAACATGCGAATACATTGGTGAGATGAGATGAAATGAGGAAAACATCGCTTTCTTACTCATGTGCGTAGAGTTTGATTGCGCACCGATTACCAGCATCTTTCTTTGTGACGAAAACGTCGAGGGAATTATACTTATAGATATTTGGTTTTGATTAGCCCTCGGCTGATTGAATTCCCGATCGTTTCGTCTATTATCATCGATACGTGCATTACGTCCGGATGAAATACCTTAAATATTACCGTATGTGATTACCGAGTACATATGCCATCTAGTTTTGAAAAGAATAAAAAATTTCTTTAACATATCGTGCTAACACAGCGTTCTAGGTAATAAACAATGAGGGATAGCGTTTTGCCGAGATAAAACTGCAAATTAATTAAATATCAAAAATATTTTTCCGAATTTTCTATTTGAAGAATTGGATGATAGCATTAATGACAGTACATCATGTGTATCAAACATCTTACAAGATCAACTCTTTTTTATAAATATATACTTACCAAAGAAATGGCGGAAACAACGAGTAAAACAATGCCTAGCCAAAAGTACCAGGCTTCCAAAAGATGACGTGGTGGTCGCCGTTGCACTACAGAATAACTCTGCGAATTATAACAGCGATATAAATGATACTCGACTATGCATGCATACGGCTTTGATATGTTATTATCGCTGCCGTTTCCAAGTTGAAAGTTGCTTCTATATTCGTGAAAGAATCGTGCCATTTCTGTTCCACGACATTCGCATAGGTTTGCCGTAGCATGCAAGATCGTTAAAAATTTACTGGTCTATCGGTGACCGCTCGTGTTTCCCTAACAGAACGTTCAATTCATTCATCAAATGTCCCAGTTGTGTTCGACAAGTTCACAGATGCGCGACAATAGATCGATGAATAATTGAAAAAAAAATTCGGTTCAAATAGAATAAGAGTCGTTTCTTTCTTGCTCTAACGCATATTCATTTTTTTATATCTACTAAATAAACAGTCGCGACTTCGTGATATATCCTGCGCAGATTTTCTTAAAAAAATTATCTCTAAATAACGCAATCACTTGATCAATCTTACAAATCACGAAACGCAGTAGTTTTTAAGGGTATATTCAACAGTAGACTTTGCGTCCGACTAACATTATCATTGACTGAACTGGAATAGGAAACAAGAAATAATCGATAGAACAAACGCGGTACGTTATTCACGCGCCACCATCGATCGATACGATAAGTGACTGAGCGAAGCGAATATAATCGGCACATTGTTCCCCTATTACACATGCTATTAGTATCTAACGATGTTATAATTTTTACAATTGATTAAGTTTAATTAATAATACTTGATTAATTTAACATTTTTCTTGCTTAATATTCGCTACAATCGCTCCAAGTTTAGCAAGGCACAATAAAGTAAATCAGTTTTATGAAAATTAATTTAATAATTTTTTCTTTTTTTACCAATGTTGTATGTACGCGCGTATGTACGTAAATTTCTCAATGATATATTTAATAATAGATAATTGTAAAACAAAATTGCATTGTTTTTTTTTATAAATGTTTTATAAATGTTAAGATAAATATAAATATAAATCACGAATATATTAATATTGATTGCCATCGTGTGGAGGTGGTGGCGGTGGTGGTCCTCTTGGCGGGAAAGGTGGTCGGAATTGAGGTGGTGGTGGCGGTGGTGGACCACCCTGAGAAACAGGAGGCGGTGGCGGATGTCGCCAGGCCGGAGGTGGTCTCGGCGGTGAAGGCTGATACTGTCCAAATTGGGGAGGACCACCACTTGAAGATGGCGGCGGCGGAGGTGGAAATTGTCCCTGCGGCGGCGCTCCCACGGCCCAATGTGGTGGTGGTGGTGGTGCCATCATCCTTGAAGCAGCTGACTGCGCCTGAGAAGTAGGTACAGGCATCGGCGGCAACGGCGGTGGCATACCAGGTGGTAAAGGCGGATGCGCCGCCATCGACATTGGAGGAAGAGGAGGCGGAGGGATGTTTGCCGGTGGGAATCCACCGGACGGTGGCGGTGGTACGGGCGGTGGAGGTGGATGACCCATCGGTGGTCCAGGAGTAGACGGTGGCGGCGGTGGTGGTACGACCATTCCATGATGCATTACGTGATGTTGAGGATGATGAGCGGATTGATGAGCGTTTGCGTTCGAATTTGGCATTGGCGGCGGTGCTAGAGGTGGCGCGTCTGCGAATAACTGATGTGGCCTGTCCGCTTGACTCAATGGATTTTGTGCGGCCAAAAGTCTTTCCGCAGCACTGCCATGTCTTTCGCCTTTGGCATCACGTTTAAAAGCATAAGAGACAGAGATAGGTCGATTGCATAAATACTGACCATTCATTGCCTCGATGCTAGCGTCTGAGGCATCGAAAGAAGCAAAATTAATAAAAGCGAAACCTTTTGAATTGCCTGTTTCGGGATCTCTCATTATCTGTAATACAAATTATATAAAATTGATAACAAAGAGAAAATGATTTCTCGATTAGGATAATCAATTGTAATAGGATAAAGAATACTTTTGGTGTTTGCAGAATCACGCCAAATGCACTGAATGTATCATACAACAATTTTTCATCCACTTCTGGATCAAGATTTCCTATAAATATATTTGCTCCAACATCCAAGTTCTTTTGATGTGCACTAGCCTTGTTTACACGAATAGGTTTGCCATACAGCTTAATCATATTCATGATTTTAATAGCATAATCTGCATCTTCTTCTCCCATAAATTCAACAAAACCATATCCCTGATGCATTTGAGTTACTCTATCTTTTGGCATGTGTACATTAACTGAAAGTATATTTATACGTACATATCTCTGCACATTTTAAATTTAAGAAATACAAAACTATTATACAAATGTACATTTTCAATCTTGAATTCTTGGATAATAAAAATTTTATATATTATATATGTGTGTGTATATATATATATATATATATATATATATATATATATATATTTATTTATTCATCGTGAATCCTCTAGGCATTCTTAACAATATAATATATATTTAGAACTAATCTCAATGATAAAATTATTATTTAAACCTTTTTTCAAAAACATGTATCCATATATGTTTTTTTAAAACAACATTATGTACACATTGTGTAAACATTTTAATATAACAAGTTGAATAGACTTACCTTGGTTACGTTCCGCAATTGGACCGGCTGCCATAATTCTTAACCTTTGCTAGAGAACTGCCGATAGATTAGTGGCTTCTAGTAAATATTGATTTGGATAGTCAAGCTTTAAAAAATATATATTTAATTGATAGATTTAAAGATACATTAATCATAGACAATTGTTAATCAACAAATATTGTTTCGGACGTAGGCAATTTAAAAAAAAAAATCAAACTGTGATTAGTATCACTTTATGCCGCGTGTTCCAAAACTCTACTGAATTCTACCCTCTGACCTTTGACTAGGGCTACGGTCAATGTAACACTAAGGAACGCTTCGAAGCGTTTGATTGTCCAATCAAAACAAAGAATTTTATTAACGCACCAATCAAAAAATGCTTCAAAGCATTTGTAGTAAGATCCCTGATCGTACCCTAGAATTTGTTAAATGAGCGACGAAAGAGAGAGGAAGGAAACAAAAAGTATGGAGAAATCACATTAATGGAGAATTCACATTAATATAATTCGCTGTATATATATATATATATATATAATATATATCATATTATCCGATATCTGATATCCAATAAGAGAATCAGGAAAAATTATTAACTAGAAACACACTCTCTTATTGGATATCAACATATCGTATATTGCATGTAAATTACGCATTAGGTCTATTCTTTTTAGCTAACTGGGGATCGATCATGTAACTTTTCCCTTAAGGCAGAAACGTGAAAAGTGAAAAGTTTCACGTGAACTTACGATCATGTACAATTTTGTGGGATCATGTAACCCTCTCAAACGTGAAAATATGAAATTTTTACGTGAACTTTTTCGCCACGTACCTTAGTGGCGGAAATCTAGGGAATTAATAAATATGCTTCGGAATTAGAGAAGATTAGGGCTGCGTTAGGATTAAGTGTACGTAGTATATATACAATTGGTTATTAAAAGATGTATATAATACTATACCAATAAAATAATTTTCATTAGCTATTAAAACCTATGAAACTATGTTTCATGATTTCACTTTCCACGCATCTAAGCTCTATATATAAATATATAATCGCTGTACGTGAAAAGTTTCATGTGAAATGTCAAGGTGTGAAAAAGTAAAAAGTGAAAAGTAAAAAGTGAAAAATGAAAAGTGAAAAATTTCATGTAAAGTTACATGATTGACTCTCTGGCTGCACGCACTAGTTCACAGTTTATTTTTCTTTGTTACACTGGAAGAAGAAAGATAAACTTTGTGAACTAGTGTAGCCAATTCAGTTTAAAAGAACAAACTTTTTGTAAAGTTTTCATAAGCCAGTGTAATATTTCGTGAAGTTTTAAAACTAACCTGAGCATACACGTTGTCTTAATATGTCGCTATCGTTACTATTTTTACATTATATGAAAAAAATTATCACTTAAACGTTAATATACATGAAAAGAAAAGAAGTAAAATTTTATTTTTGTATCTGTTTTCCTATAATTTATTGATTTTTTAATAAAGCTTATCACATTTACATTGCCATCTTCATATTATAATAGATCAAAACTGGTGATGGGAGAGAGAAATTGGAAAGATTGGAGACCTTTCGTGTACGGAGGTTTGGCCTCGATTGTTGCCGAGTTGTGTAAGCGATTAAAAAAATGGTTCTACTTTAAAATAATCTTTTGGATTATTCATATACATATCTTAATAAAAATATAATTCTCATTTTTAAAAATTTTAGGTACTTTTCCCTTAGATACAACAAAAACACGCTTACAAGTGCAAGGACAGAAGTATGATCAAAAACTTGCACGTTTAAGGTATTCTGGCATGACTGATGCATTATTACAAATATCTAAGCAAGAAGGAATAAAAGGTTTATATTCTGGGTAAATATTTTAGTATAAAAAAATAATATATTAAAGTCTGTTCTGTTTTATTCAATATTGATATTAAATGATGATCAAATATCTCATTTAAATAAAACAGAAATTGTTGACTTGATAGATGAAGATAATAACTTTGAAGATAAAGATTATAAATATCATTAATATTATAAGAGATGAGATAATATTTTTAGGAACTCAAATATATAATCAGTTTTTCACAGGGATTAATTTTTCTCGTAGGATTAGTTCTGCCATCTTACGACAAGCAACATATGGAACAATAAAATTTGGGACTTACTATTCACTTAAGAAAGTTGCATCTGATGCATGGGCAACAGGAGATTTAGTCACAATAAATATTGTTTGTGCAGCATTAGCAGGAGCTATATCAAGTGCGATTGCTAATCCTACTGATGTAGTAAAAGTTCGTATGCAAGTCACTGGTGAAACAAATGTATCACTGTTTACTTGCTTCCAAGATGTATATAAGCATGAAGGTGTTCGCGGGCTTTGGAGGGTAATAAATAATTTTTAGTGTATTGCATCATACATATATATA